GTCAAAAAATGGGCAGAAGAGCTAAAAAGAAACTTCTCTGAAGAGGAAATGCAAATGGCCAACAGGCATATGAAAAATGTTCAACATCACTTGCCATCAGGGAAATGCAAATCAAAACTACCATGAGATACCATCTTACACCAGTGAGAATGGCACATATTAAAAAAACTAGCAACAACAAATGCTGGCGAGGGTGTGGAGAAAAAGGAACTCTTCTGCACTGTTGGTGGGAGTGCAAACTGTTCCAACCACTGTGGAAAGCTGTGTGGAGATTTCTGGACCTACTAAACATAGAGCTTCCATATGATCCAGCAATTCCACTCCTAGGTATTTACCCAAAGGACACAGAAACATCAATTCCAAAGAACACCTGCACCTCTATGTTTATAGCAGCACTGTTTACAATAGCTAAGCTTTGGAAACAACCCAAATGCCCAAAAATAGATGACTGGATCAAGAAGATGTGGTACATATATACCATGGAATATTACTCAGCATTCAAAAAAAAAAAAGATAAACACATGCAATTTGCAGCAACATGGATGGCGCTGGAAGGGATCATGCTCAGCGAAATAAGCCAAAAAGAAAAAGAAAAATACCGGATGGTCTCACTCATAGCAGGAATCTAGAAAACTTAAATAAGGGACCAGGAAAATGAATAACTATAAGAAAGTGAAAATCAAAATCAACAAAAATCTATGAACCAGAGACACTTTTTGGGGGGTGGGGGCGGGAGGGGAGGGATTGGGGTCAGAATGGGGGGGCTGCAATTGTATGGGGAATATAACAATAAAATTTATTATTAAAAAAAAAATAAATAAATAAAAGCACATTCAAACCAAACATAACAATATTTTAAATTAAGAAAAAAGTGGTTTCTCTACAATATCTGTAACAAAGTATTCCGTGATGTGAACAATGTAGTCTTTTCTTTGTATCTCATTCTAGTTATTAGATAAAATGTTTCAGGATAATGAGACCTTTACTAACCTACCATTAGTTAACGAACATTGTTTTCCATCACCTAAGATATTTAAGTTCTGGAGGTGTTGTGTACAGCATAGTGACTAAAATTATCAATACTGTATCATGCATTCAAAAGTTGCTAAGACAGTAGATCTGAAAAGGTTTCATCACAAGAAAAAGAACGGTAATAAGTTAGGTGAAGATAGCTAAACTTACTGTGGTAATCATTCTGCAGTGTATAGTACATCAAATTGTATGTCATGTGCCCAAAATTAATAGTGATTTCTGTCAATTGTATCACAATAAAACTAAAAACAAAATGAAAAGAAGGCAGTGTTACAGAAAATTTTAATTAAAAATTTTTTGTGAAGATATAGAGGGAGGATATTATAAACGTAAAACATCCACTGATGGTGTAAATTTCCATTGTTATCATAACTAATGATTTGATTCCATTGTTTCACCTGGACTTAATTCAGCAGGTGCTTCCAGGTGTTTTAAGCAACACCTTTCAGTTGTTGGGAAGCAAGTATGAAAGGTTACTGGAGAGCATGTGAAAGTGTAGAGTACACCATTGGATTTGTGGTCATAACTTCCAAATTGTCCCTATATAAGCAACAAAAGAGAGGGTCAAGAATATTGCTGTTCTCTTTATGTAACAGGTAGTACTACTTAAGAGAAAAGGGCAAGGTGGAGGGGGGGTTGTGTATAAATAGAGATGAGATGAGAAAATTTTTAAAACATTAGCTATAGGCAGGAAAAAATATTTTGGTATTGCTCAGAGGAGACTTTTGTTTGGAGTGGGGAAATGTGGCCTATTAAGAACCAGTACACATTTTCACTTAGTGGATGCTTGCTTGTTACAATAGATGGTGTCTTCAAAGGGGATTGGAGTGGTTTTAAAGGCAGTATCTGAGAACCAATGGAATTTGGTGATAAGTTCATAAAACTTGCTTAGAGAGTTTTAAAAAGATGGTTGTGACTATGTATGCTTAGAAAATTTTTTTCACAGTAGTAAAATTAGTGGATTGAGGATATCATATGTTAAAAAGACAGACATTTTTGTAGGCAAATTTTGGTGGTGGAAACTGTGGAGTGTTTATATTTTTTCTGTTCTTAAAGGAGAAGTGAACCAGCAACACAGTTTGAACTCAGAGAAACAGATCATGCCATGATTAAATACTGTAGTGACTCCCATTACTTAGATGAAACACACATGATGCCCAGTGAGAAGACACCCTCATACTAAAAATATTAATGACTCAAAACTGAATGCAAACAATGCACATATTTATTAGAAGTACAGTACCTAGTTTCTTACATTTTTACATCAGGTGGGAGTTGGCGGGATGATGGAGAAAGAGTAGGTGGAATTTGGAGCTGTTGAAGAACAAAATGTACAATTATATATGTGGAAAGGATTGAATGATACATAAATAGATGTCACACTCAGGAATGTCTGGTACATCTCTGCTTTTCCTTTCCCTGCAAGCGTAGCTGTAATATTTATAAACCACGTGCTTGTGAACGCACATATATTTGTATTGTTTTTCAAATTCCTGAATCAGTATTTTTTGTTGTCTGTCATATGTTCTTGAGAACATAGATTAATGTATATGTATATTATCTACATGTATGAGTCCTATCAATCACTAGGTATGTTATATTTATAAACCACTTAATCTTCATGAACCTCAATTTTATTACCTGTAAAATAGGGATAATAATAATTACCTGGTAGCTTGGTACAAAGTTCACCCAAGTAGTATAAATTGAACTCAAATTAGCTTGTCAAAACTAAATAAAATAAATTGATTAATTAATTAGTAAGGCTTCATCTACCCAAGCAGTCCAAGAAATGGATCTGGATCTGTCTCTGGCATATGGGGATCCAGTGGTACAAATGAAGTCCTCAGGATTTAGTTTTCTCCTGAAAGGTAGTGGGATGGAATAGTCTGCTTTAGCAACCTGCATTATGTGTACCTAAGGTGGTAGAGAATTAAATTCATCCTAGCCACCAGGACTGAGCAAGATCATTGTGGCATAGGGTAATGGTATGTTCCCCCAAAAAAATGCTGGAACAGATAAGCACATTATCTGATAAAGTGTAGGTAAGAGGTTGTAAAACAAGAAAGTTTATAATAGCTTTGAACACAGTCATAGGGCCTAGAGAGAAGAGTAAACATTTGAAATTTATTAATTGAGTGAATAGCTATGAAGCAACACCAAAACTTCATAGCCAGTTAAATATGGGAAGACAGATGAAATGTTCAATATTAATTGTTACATTGACATTTTCATTTCACAAACTCCATAAGCATGATCTACACAGGGCATTTTCCTGCTAGTACATTGTTGGGTTTGGTATTTTGGGGGATCCAGGGATTGTTGCAAAAAAAAAAAAACTAGGATAAAAAGAACTCAGCATCTAAGATATTTCAGATTGCCACATATTTATCTAGCAAATTATCTCTTTCCTCCAAAATCTTTTATGTTTCTTAAATGTCTACAACAGAATGATGTTTCATAAGTTGAATGTGATAGTACTTTTTTGTGTATTTTTTTGGCTTGCCATTAGTCACAATGAGTGGGTGTCAAATTACCATTTCAGTCACATTTTATAATAAGCTGTAAATAAGCAAAACTTAATTTTTGTCATCACAAACCTAATTTTATTTTAAATGCTAGTAAAATTAATTTTCCTATTATCAAGATTTCACCTTCTGTCTTATGATTGAATTCTTAGCAAGAAGATAATTTTAGTAAAACCATATGAGTTCAACAAAATTTTTAAATTTTATCTGTCTCCAAACTTTCAATTAATTTTTTTAAAGATTTATTTATTTATTTTAAGATTTATTTATTTATACAAGCACTGGGTACAGTCAGAAGCAGGGGAGGGTTAGAGAATTCACCAGAGCCAGAGCGGGGAACAGAACAGGCAGAGTGATGAAATACACTGCTGAGGGGCGCAGCGGGCACAGCAGGAGAGGTCTGCCCACCATGTGGGACCCTCGTTGGTGGCCGGGGATCGAACCGGTGCTGCAGAGGCTGCAGGCAGCTTCGCAGCCCAGCGCTCAACCGCTGAGCCACCAGGGGAGGCCCCAATTAATGTTTAATTATTGCCATTAGTGTAGTTTATGACTTGTATGATAGCACCTTAATCTGTTATTTATCTAATACTATTATTTTATTAATTGAATTAAATTCATCCTAGCCTTTTCATGCAAGTTAAACTTTGAATACAAAACTGAAATCTGAGTTATTAGTACCATCTCTCTGAAATTACATTGAAAACTTATTGTCTCTTCCAGAAATCCAATAGGAATGATGGCTGGAAGTTGGCATTTCTTTTTACGATACTAGTTTGAACTCTATTGAAAAGCTCATTGCAGACCCTTTAAAATTTGAATAATATAGGCAGGGAGATTCAATAGCCCCTCTTGAATAAAATATTTCTAACATTCAAAATTGCTACCATTCTCCCCTTTAGATATTCTTTTTTTCTATAAGAAAAAGAATTGAAAAGGTTAAGTCATATCTCTAAAAATCAGGTTTCAGTCTTTCATATTTTTTTATGTTAAATATCAAAGATGGCTTGACAACATATTTAGAATTTTCTGAGTTGTAGTTTAATAAAGTTAAAAGAAAATCTAATGTGATCAGGCAGTGGAGCCACATTAAATTTTTATGTGAAACACCCATTGTGCTTATCTCTCCTAGATACTGCTCTGAACCCATGTTCCACAGTCTGAATCTGTGTATAAAGTTAAACATTGCAGAGAGGCATATATCTGATGATACAGATAAATAAGTTTGAAGTTTAGTTATGAGCAAAGTTGGTAAATTTATTATGTTCATGTCTTTAGTTTCTGTTATTAATATAGTTGCATTGTATAGGGAATTACAAGAGTATTAAAACTATTGATAGGTTTTAAAACTACTAGGAATTTAAGAATCCTCTTCAAACTGTAGTACTGTATATTAATATGCTAAACTAATATTAAATTTCTTAAAATATTAATTACTTGCAGGCAAAGTTGTTAGCTATGCAGCAAGCCAGAGAAACTGCAGTACAACAGTACAAAAAACTGGAAGAAGAAATACAGACACTTCGAGTTTACTACAGGTAAAATTTTTTTTGACTTTAGTTAAATCTTAGTTGAGAAGCATTTCTACCTGATTTTACAATAGAAAAAGAGAATATATCTCAATGAAATTAAACAGTGTACGCTTAAAACATTTTTATAATTTTTAAATGATTAGGTATAAAATATTCATATGCTACCTCTTTTCTTTCTACATTTTCTAAAGCTTAAGTTTAGACTCCCAGCAGAATTAAATAATTTGCATAACTCACAGTCAGTTGTCTGAAACCTGGTTGGCTGTTGAAATATTTACTCATCTAAATGCTATCTGTAAAATGATGATACATTTTTTTTCAATACATGAGTAGCAATAATAACAAAATTTTGCCAAGTATATAATATGAGAAATTTCTGAAGGAATACTTCTATAAAGATTTTTTAAAATATAATTTGTGTTCCAGGAGTAGTTGTGAAATTAACTCAGTAGGTCACACTGGCATTTTTTTAATGAAAAGAAATAGAATAGAAAATGTCAGAGTGCATCTCCTCTTGTAAGGGTCAATATTGTTTTGTGATACTTTTGTTTCAAATTTTTGTTACACTTGAAGAGATAAGATTGTTTAATGGGCTATAAGTAAAATATTCTGACAGCTAATTATGGTAAAAAAAATTAGGTAAAAATTCTAATTCATATACAATGCTTTGTATATTCTTTGATTAAGAACTTAAAGTCTGAAATGTAAGTATTTATTAAGTGGGACTATAAATTTGTTGAAAGATTTTTTTATTAATTTGACTTCCTCTCAGAATGTTGTTAAGGATATAAACTGCAATTAAATCAAAATCAGTTTCATCGATTTTCTAGGTATATGTTTTTTTAAAGTATTATATCGCGCTATGTTGCTATACCTGCATTACTATCAGTACATTAAATAATTATATCTAACTGCAAGTCTGTGATTTCAAAGTAGTGATGACTGTAATTGGTATTTGGGGGGTAACTGCAAACACTGGAATGTAACATGAAAATACCAGTGGTTTCTATGGGTGCAAATTCTAAAGAACTGCTAATAGTGCTACTGTGGTTTGTTGCTTGTGTTCATAATTGTAAAAAAAACCGCTGTACTTACATGAAAGTTAGTGAAAAGTAAAGATGTAATTTTTTCTATGCTCATTAAGAACCTTGCTTTGAAGCAGTGTTACTGGCATCTAAATGACCCCTCTAAAATAATGATATATAGGTAGTAATATTGTTATTGATTGAATTATGTCCTTCAAAAATTACATGCTGAAATTCTAAACTCTAGCACTTTATAGTGTGGCTTTATTTGGAAATAGAGTCTTTACAGGGGTAATCAAGTTAAAATGAGGTAATCAGCCTGGGGTAACCCTGAAGCACTGGTGTTCTTTTATATAAAGTGGAAATCTGAGAGGAATGACAGAATTAGAGTAGCTACTGAATTAAGGCAAGAAGAACAAAGTCAAGCAATACTAAGGACTCAGCTGGGGATGATGCACAAAATTGTATGAGTTCTAATTTGTACTGTTGTGTAATTTAACATATTCAACTGTCTTTGTAGAGCAGTACAGAAGGCAAAGGATTGAAATGATTATAAATTTGCAGGACTAAAATGACAGAGAGCAGAGAGTTTGAGAGTGTGCTAGCCGAAGAGTTGTTGAGATGATGAATGATAGTTTGAGCTAAAAAGGGCAGGAAATAAAATGACAGAGATATGTATCCCGAAAGAAAAAGGAGTAAAAAAACAAAACAAAACAGAAGTGTTGAGGACTTAGAAAAATTTAAAGGTGAAAAGATAGGAAGACAGAAAGTGAAATGTTGTGACATCAGATCTCAGGAGTGAAACACTCATTTCTGTGCCATGACAAGGTTTAAGGCATTGACCTACAAGTGGATGGTTGAAATTGAGAGGAGGTAAAGATCACTAGATAGAAAGAAGTCAAAGATTATTAAATTAAAGTATTGAATGTTCATTTAAATAGGCCTCTAACAATATTTGTTACTCACTGTAAAGTGTCGTAACAGAAAATGCTTAACAATAGATAAATAAAAGTTATGTGCTGCAATAAAGAATGACATGTAGCTGAATATATCAAAAAGAAAAGCCTATCCAGTCATGTGTCACTTCACAATGAGGATACATTCTGAGAAATGTGTGATTAGGTGATTTCATCATCATCCGTACATCATAGAGTGTAATTACACAAACCTAGAGGTTATAACCTACTATACACCTAGTCATATCATATAGCCTAGTGGGACACCCATCATCGATGAAACATCAGTAAATAATGCACATCTATACAGTGTTTGATGCACGAAGGATATGTGTTATCAACTCAAGAAAAATACAAGGGAAGATGCTTCCTTTTGGAAGATCCACATTTCTATCGAAACAAAAATGTACATAGAATGTTTTTGTATTGTTGATGGGAATGTAGAATGATACATCCACTGTGTAGTAATAGATAAAATAGATATTCCTGTATTATCCAGCAATTCCACACCTGGGCATGTACCCCAAAAGAATGGAGAGTAAGGACACCAGCAGATGCTTGTGCACTAATGATCATCACAGCATTGTTCACATTAGCCAAAAAAATAAAAACAACTGAGGTGTTCATCAGCAGATCGATAAACAAGACATGGATATACAAACTATGGAACAGTATCCAGTCATGAAAATGAATGTAATTCGTATATATACCACAACATTTATCAGATGAAATGTAAAAAGCATGATGCTAAGTGAAATAAGACAGAAAAGACGACTAGTAGGAGCTCACATTCTGATTTAAATGAAAGTAAACAATGTTTTTACATTCCTAAATAGTGGTGGTTATAAATCCATACATGAAACACAGTGAATTAATAGAAATACTAGTTTTTTTTCCTCAGTTTCCCATGCTTTGGAAGGAAAGGAAAAGTTCCATTTTTGTATGAAGAAAGCCAAGACCAATTCTGTAATCCCATATACTAATATTTATATATATATTAAATATACATCAATATGCAATTTTTATATATGTACTTTATAAAGATATATATAATCCATTACTCATAATTCATAGATAATGGATTGTATTTAGCAAAGTTTAAGAAAAAATAAACTTTCAACTATTTCAATCAATTTTATATGTATGTTGTCATGTTAAAGAAAGTTACTTCCCAATAAGCTAAGAAAAATAAGCTAAGAAAAGTAAAGGAATATTATAGTATACCATGAAACAGCAAAAGAATAAGCCTCAAGTCTTGCTCTCAACTTTCCAACAGCTGAAGCAGAGCAGAGAAGAATGTGTCATCATTTACTAGTTTTAAGGACGGATTAAAAGGTGCAGATGGCTTTCATTCTACCTTGCCTTTAAATCAACAAATTAGTGATATTGATCTTATTCTTTTAAAATATTTTTTCAAAAAATTTCCTTTACACAATTGTGCTAAGAGCTACTGTTACTGTAAGTCTTCTGTTTCCGTGCATGGAAATAAGGTATATAGAAGTATATTTTTATAAAAGGTATATAGAAGTATATTTTTATAAAAGGTATATTTTTATAAAAGGTATATAGAAGTATATTTTTCTGAGTTTTTCTATTCTGTTTTTTTCCTTTGAGTTCCTATAGTGTTTGAATGCTAAGAAGAGGAAATGGCCTTTTCTTTGCTTTTGCAGAGTTGAGGACAGGGGCAAATGAAGTGGATGGGTAGAGAAACTTAATTTACCATTATAGCAACTCTCACATTAAAGGGGAAGGGATAGCAGGAGAGGACGAACAGTATGAAGATTTAATGTCTTATAAAATTGCTGTTAGTTAAGAATTAGTACCTCCTTATCGCTGTGCTGAATGCTGAATACGTTTGCTGCAGCAGCTTCCTTAGTCTAAATCTAAACAGTTTCATCAGAGAAATGTCTTCAGTGCTGTAAGTTTAGATTTGTATTTAGTAATAATTTTTTCCTGTTGTTATAAACCTGTAGTGCTGCATTCCTAAGTTCAGGAGGCATAATAATAACAAACTCTTTTCTAATCAGAGATTGCCCAGGTTACCGTGTTTGCAGAATTTTATGGTGCTTCTTTATATTTCCTTTCACTTAAGAACATGTAAGTTAAGGTGTGCAGATAAGAATTAGATCCTGCTATTTGGTGTCAGTAGATTAGGATTTAATGTACTTACTTAAAATAGCAACAAGTTAATGTTTCAAATTTTTATTATATTTTGTTTGAATCCATGTAGGAAGTCGTGATGCCTTTCAAAATATGGTAAAATTAAAATTTTAGGCCAAGTTTATTGAATAGAATGCTCCATAATTTAAGGTAGCATGATTTCTATTGATTTTTTTAATTGTCACTATTAATTAATTTCACATTTGACGTAGTGAAAGTGGACCAAACCTGAATTCTGTTTATTGGATTTCATATTCATATAGATAGAAGTTATGTAAAATATCCTCAAAAAGGGGGTAGACTTTTTAATTTTCTACATTCTTTTTATAAATTTTATTTAGTATGCGTCTTTTACTTATTACATGTATTTTTGGTCTGAATATATGCAATCCATAGCAAGCAGAAGTATTACTATCAGTAGAATCTGGTTGCTTTTTTTTTTTAACGGGAGCAATAGTTCTTTGTTGAACCATATGCTCTCTCAGTGAAAACCATACATTGATAAGAAACCAAGTAGTGATCATAACATGCAAACTCAAACCATGAAGCAACAGTTTTCTCATTATAAACCTCTTATCAAGAAGGGTTGAACACTACATTCTAACTTCATTTTTTTCTATATTCTAACAAATTGTGATAAATGGACTTACCCAATGATATAAAATTTTTGTCACATGTATTTTCTATGTATTATGGTACCATATTGCAAAAGCAGTAATAAACAGAACAAAAGAAAGCCGGAGTTCTTTCTTTGCCATTAATCAGCTGTTTTTAAACATAGGCATGCTCTTAACTATCCATGTACCCGTTTTTTTAACTTTGACAGAGGTTTTTCTAGTTCTGACAGTTTATGAAATTCATTAAT